TCCGATCCGCCAGGATCCCCCCCAGAGCGACACAGCCCCTGTTTCCCTATAGCTACATCCTCCGCCATACTCCCAGGACGTGCCCGGTCCCTTGCCCCGCGCGTGTGCCCCCACAGCTTCCTTCACCCCGATCCCCTCCTCTCCACGCCCAGGCATGCATGCCTATTTGAATCCGGCGGAGGACGTCGGCAAGGAGAACGTGCCTCCGTAGTACTTGCTCTGGAAATAGTAGTAAAAAAAGTCGGCATAGAGCGCCGTTTGCACAAACCCGCAGGCATACACCACGTAGTCGTGGTGGTAGTGCTTTTCTGTGTAGGCGCGATAGATCTGGGGGAGAGTGGGATCAACAGGATTAAGTCAAGGCCGTCGGGAGACGAGACGACACGGGACCGGGCACAAAGCCCCCCGCCCTACCTCGTTCCCCCCAAAAAACCCGCACATGCTCCTTCCTCCCTCCCTCCCTCCCTCCTTCCCTATCAACCACCCACCCAGTTCAAAATGTATAGCCCCCGGTAGGCGCCCAAGAAGAAGATATAATGCCCCGTCAGATTCTCCACTACGCTGTACCGTTGCAGGACAATGAGCTGCGGCAGGATGGCCACGGCTTCCAAATAGATGCTGAAGGTCCAGAACAACTGAAAGGGGGGGGGCGGCAGAGGCAGGGAGAAGGGTGAGCGGCGGGAGTGAAAGCTCCAGTGGGGAACGAGACCAGGGTCCTGACACCTGTTTCCTTCTTCCTTCTCCTTCCGTTCCCCTTCCTTGCCCCTCACCTCAATGAAGCCGAAGCCCCGGATCAGGCTCGTGATCATGGCGAGGACCAAGCATGGGATCAAGGCGAACTCCAACCGGAAGGAATCTTGACTCCTGTCATACGTGCTCCGGTAGGGCTCTCGGTATCGAATCATGTGGATGATGGCTGAAAGGGGAAGGACGAATGAGAAAGCGTATCATTGACGTATTCATTCCGTCCGCCTCGTCAGAAGTCGTGCATAACACATACATACATGCAAATGTATGTGCCAAGTCAGGCACTACCCCCTGCCTTCTCCCGTCTCCCTCATTGCCGTGTGCACTGACATCCCCACTCACCAGCCGTGGAGCCAATGTACAAAATCTTCATCGCCGAGTTGTACAGCGATATAAAGCGTATCAATAAATCCAGGTACCGCGTGCAAAACACGATGAGGAAGAGCTCCTGGGTCTTCAAAGACACACCATTCGCGTTCTTCGCCACATGCAAACGTAGGAGGAGGATAATGATAGAAAAGACGTGGGACATGTCCCCGGCAAATCGAAATATGTTCATCGACATGGTGAATGTAGCCAACTAATGCTGAACGCGCAAAGGGTGGGGTCGACCCTGGTAAGAAGCTCCTTCAGCGACTTCCTTGTGTTGGTATGAAGGAACCTCGGGGACGGCCAAATCTGGAGCTACAGGAGAAGCCGATTGTGATGCGGTATTGGCCTGCACCTTGACGTATTTATGGTGCAAAGAGGAATGTGTGTCATTCGAATGAGTTTCATTGTGTGTGGACGGGAAGCATGTTTCGTGTGAGCCTGATTCGTCTGGGGACTAAAAAGTGCGAACTCGGAAGCACGCGACTAAAAACCGCCCTAGTTATGGTCAGTCCGCCCATACTTTTCATTAAATTCACAATTCATCCCGGCCAGACGTGGCCGTGCGCAAGCGCATTGCTTGGGTATGTAGGAACATAGGGAGAAAGAAGCCCAGAGCTCTCCGACCCAGCAACCGACAGGAGGCGATAGCCTGACAAGCGAGTGCTATGAAGCCGTATCGCGGGGGGTAAAAGCGCCCTCCCCGATCGATAAGGACCATACGACGTCCCTCACGTCCCTACATTTGAGACAGGTCGCATGTGGGCATGTGGTGGTCGCGCTTTTGACCGCGGCAGTGGATTAAATGGAGAGGAAGGATGGAGACGAGCCTTTGCCATCGCATCTTCAGCATGTAGACATGAATAGCGAGGGCTCGGGGACCTCTGATTCAGGGGACGTTCCGCGTGGCCCTGATGGAAGCAGTATACTCCTTGTTGATTCAAGACATCCAGTGGATGCGCCGGGACGATCCATCCCACTGATACCGGTCCTGTTGCCTTCCTCTACCGGCAAGGACAATCATGATAATGCGACCTCCCTCAGCGGTGCAACACGTCCCAATGAGGCCTCCCACCCCGCATTCCCTTCCTCCGTACCTTTTCTCACCACTGAGGAGCTGCGTACGACCTTGGAAAACTTCTACCGGGCTCACAACCCCAAGAATGCAGACAAAATCGACGCTTTTTTGAAGCGCTACCAAGGTCGGGAGCCCCAGCTGTTGCTTGACGTTCAAGCGAAATACAAGGACGGAGGGGTACATATCACGGATTATATGCCGAATACTGTTGACGTAGAGGCATGTGTGAGTGTTCTTGAGGAAAAGAATTCGAGGGCGGACACATCAGCCGTCTGCAACCGCAGGGAAAGCACTGCGTTGTCTTCCTTTTTTGCGCCTGGGGATTCGAAACCCGCCGTGAAAGCGAAAGGCGACAATCACAGCGCTAGCAGCAGCGTTGACGTCGGGGTTCTGCCTGCCTTGCTGCTCAAGGCATTCAAAAAGAAGGATTCGACCCATTCCCAGGTCCGCCAAGAGCCCTCGCCCTCCGATTCCCAGACAAACCGCCCACCGCGCCACGTTTCATCTCCCTCCTTGCCGTCCCCCCCGGCCTCTGCTATCCCCTCCCCCCGGCGAGAAATGGCGGATGGCCCTCATGGCTCCCCTCTGCCCTCTTCTTCGTCCGCCGACTCCCAAGCCACAGCCCCTGTGGGCGCGGCAGG